TCACCACCCACCCGAAGCTCCTCGGTCTCCACCTCTTCCGAATCACCCGTCAGCCTTCACGACGAGCCTTCAGAAGCAATCCTCCAGCGCTACGACGCAGACCAGGGCGCCAACGTTGTATATATCAATGGCCCTCACTCGTACGTCCCCAAGCAGCAACACGCACTCCCGCTGTACGACACCCAACCTTCAAAGAAGGTCAAGACCTCTGCGGGCGGCATCTTCAGCAGGATGTTCGGCCAGACCGGCGCCTACGCCGGCCGCCAGACTACCTATTAATGCTATTCGCTACCTCCACCACTCTCGCTTCAACAGCCTAACGACTTTCCTTATTGTTCCCCAATGACATGATCTGATGAAAAGATGCTCACTGGATGGACATCTCTTCGCCCATCTCGTCATCTCTTCTTGCATTGGCCGGCGTTATAACACAATCTCAGCATTTGCATAGCACAGCATTGTACCGGCGTTGGGATATCAATCAAATCGGAATCTTGAATCGCATCTATATTGCGATTCTCGGCGCGACCGCCTCATAGTAGTTTAGCTCTCTTATAGCTTTCTCACAGCCCACAAATAACTATATACCGCGGGTCCTCTGACTTGTCAGATGTCTTTGCGAGTAATGGGAAAAAAGGAAAAATAAAACATTTTGTTCAAAACACAATTCTTCCGTCTCGTGTTGTTTCCGTCTCCGTCTCGGAAAGTGTATTCTTGGCAACGGGCGTTCTCCTCTGTCAGTGTGATTGAATGACTCTCCCTCCCGTGTATCCCCTTCGCGGTTCGCAATTTCCGTAAATTGGGGTCTGACATGCGCGCTAGTGTGTGGGACGGGTATCTTATCTAGCTAGTGCGGACGGATTTCACTTACAGATAGGTCCATGGTTTGGTGGCGCACGCTCTTTCTTGACGCGATTCATCAATACGCGACTTTGTCCAATATTTCTCGCATCGCATGATGTTTCTCATGCCGCACCCAAACAGGGCGATCTAATCGCTGTGCGGTAATTCGCGCAATGCGGAAGATGAGCAAGACGGCATACAGGGAGCACAATACTCAGCTAGGCATAAAATCTTGTGTCCATACACATACACAGCATGAAATACACCGGTCACTACTCCTACACAACTACACAGTACAGCCACAACGCCAGCCGAGACCTGAGTAAACTGCATACTCGCCAACTCGCGATGATATCCAGTCGTTCTGCCTTGTACGACACCTTCTGCGGGCCGCATGCGCAGCCACAACAGGCTGACCACCTTGCCGACCACACATGACACTTCACATGGACACTTCACCTGTATACCTGCTACAGAGCCTCCGCAGCCAATATATCTCCAGCTGAATGATGAGTTTGACGACGGCTGAGTCGCGCCGGTCAAGCAGAAAGGCTGCCTCACAACCTCCAAGCACCCTCGTCATCTTCGGATCCGAGATCCAATAAACCCCACCGGCATCATCATCAGCAAACCTGGGAATACGCCATGCGCATGTCCCACATCTAACCCGTAACCCGTAACCCGTAACCAGGACTGCAGAAATCTTTTACCTCGGCATCTCATCTCTCCTATCTAAGCTATCCCTCGACGTAGAATCCACTAAATGCCAGATAGCGATGGATGGCACGGCAAAAGATGGCAATATACGATATGCAGGAGTCAAGGAGCTTAGGGGGCCCGCGTAGATCAAACGGGTTCTGAGTGGCAGGAGAGATGCGCTAAGCCTGGTTTGGGTATGGTGGGGGGTTTCAGGTGGGTGGCTTGGCGGTAGAGTGTTTGGGTGTGGTTGGTCGGTTCGTCCAACCGAGGAGGAGGGAGGGGAGTTGTGATGGTCGGTATTTGTCGGAATTTGGGATTGGTGAGTCGGTGAGTTGGGTGGATGGCGGTGAATCATTTTGTTGCGCATGCGATTGCGCGTTGGAAACTGGAGGTGGAAACTGGAGATTGTAGGTGGTGATGTCATTGACGGTCGTGATCGGGTGGGTCTCAGTGTGCGACGCGGTCGCGTTATATGTTATGCACGATACTCTTCATACTTTTCGTTATACTCGAGCTCACGCGTTCCAGCTTATTGGTCAGTCAGCGACGTGCTCCAATTTTCTTGCGATGCGCGAGATGAACCGTTCGCCGGGTTTCAATGGCGCAACACCTTGCGGCTCCCAGAGCTAGGTACCTGGGACTGGGACTCTTCCACTACAATCCCCAGGCATCTTCGGCAGTCAACATCCTATGCTCACTTAGCAGAAGTCCTATACCGTTCAGTGCATACGAAACTGCACAATGCTTTAAGCCCTATATTCATGCTGCGCTCCTCCATCGAGTAACACGCATTACCTGCCAACCCGACAAGAGCAACACAAGAGCGCAACAAGGAGAACCCGTCGTCCTCCAGCTGAATATCTGCACAATATCGATATCTCGTCCTTGTATAAGATCATGCACATGATCAGAATTATGTGAAGACTTACCGCATGCAGCCACGATCACAGTGGATCCTTCGTCTCAGGCATGAAATCTCGCCGCACCTGATACAACAACTGTCAACACTTGCCTGGTAACACGGGTAGCCTGGCATGCCAATGCCAAACACCTCAACCACCGTCTAAGATGGCCAACATGAGGATTCCTCTCGCTTTTTGCATCTTCGTCGCTCGTTCTTCATCCACCTTGAAGGCTTTTCGTTCTTTTCGTAACCGCTGGCCGGTCCCTTTTTCGCTCGTTTTTTTTGTAATCTTTTGTAATGGTTCGGCAATTCACCTTCTTACCGGGGGATCGGAGGGATACGGGAGATGATGGCAGGACGGTGCGGTATAGCCATTGGGGACGGTATAATACTTTCTACGGACTTTCCTTTACGACGACGCTTTCGACGGTGCTTTTGCTGGCGCAGCTCAACGAATGCAGGGTTACGGGTCAACTCTTCACTCTTGCGAATAGATTCCCTGGTTCCGCTGCGTTGGTCGTACAGCTTCTCGCCGCTTTCTTTGGACTTTTGCATCTCGCGGTCATTTGCAAGCTTATCAACTATGCGCTTCGACTGCGGCTCAATAAGGTCAGCGTTTCCCTGGATGTGTTGCGCACTTGGGTGGATATGAGCATCATGCGCGTGGATTGGGACTTGCCTCTACGGTTCTTCTTTCCCTCAGTATTCGTCGTTCTTCTCAGCCTTGTGCCTGCGGCGCTTTGGGCTGGTTCGATGACACCGTCGGTATCGAGGACGGTGGATAGCGGCATGCTTTTGATTCCAAGCTACGAGGATGTGTCGATGATCAAAGAGTACCCGATGATGATTGGCAGTTCGGGACCGTCGCTGCGCACGCAAAAGGGCTTCTTCACGTATTCGGTTGGCCAGCAACAGAGCAGTCAGCTTCTGGCATCAGCGGCTCAGGCGTCTTCTTTGGGTGGAGGGCCCCATGTCCATCGCAAACTCGACAACACGCAATTCAGCTACCGAGGCCGTTCGTATGGGGTCGGTGCATCTATCGGACTCATGGACCAAGGGATCAGGTCGAACAGCCAGGTTGCGGGATACATCTACCAAGAGGAGGGCTATCTGGCAAACGTCACCTGCACATACAACGCAACATCCAACTTCACTCTTTCCGGACCAGTCAACGAATGGATCTATGCGGCTTCCGGTAACCTACCCGACAGCGAAGAAGGCCCGGAATACTCAAACTACATCGGCCACGACGGAAAAGCCATCGTAGCAATGGGCGTAGCGTACAGCGACCGTTCACCTCGCCGCTACCTCGCCATCGCTGCAGGTCCAGCCTACTCCTTCCTCAACACCACGCAATGCGAGTTCGACTTCACACCCACCCTCTTCAACGTCACCGTCGACGTCGGCAATCTCAACATCACCGTCAAGCCCGTGCGCACAATGCCCGATTTCAACCCCCAGCGAAACGTTACGCGCACGGTTGTGCGGCAGTTCGAGCTCATGTCTAACGACATGACGAACCTGTATGTTTCGCTTCTAGGTGAAGCGTTCAACTCCAGTATCGCGGCATACAAGATGTCAGAGACGTTCAATAACCGGACATTTACTGAAGAGGAAGCAACACTGGCGGGTCTTACGAATAGCATGGTTGCTATGGCTGATGACATGTTGGTTGCGTATGCGTCTGCACAGCTCATGGTTGGACGCATGTTCACTCAGCAACCAGCGAAGGTCTACGTCTATGCGCTGCAGTTTGGTCAACCGAGTTATATCTACGCTATCTTCACGCTCAACATCGGTATCATCCTCGCGGTTGTGTTTGAGGCTGTGCGCACAGCAGCGTGGTCTGCACTTGGCCGCTTCAACTACCTTGATCCACGTGATCTCATCGTCGCTGCATCGAGAGGAGGAGGCGACATCGCAGCTGCAGCCGACGACATCATGGAGCGGAGAGAAGGGAGGAGGATGAAGCATATCTGGCTATTAAGCGACCCCGACGGCGGCAACGGGTCCCTCATCGTCAACTTACGGGGCGACCAAGACGGACACGTCAAAATCGAAGTGGGCGCTGGGCAATGCGCCAGAAACGCAGAGAGCGCATACCCGCCAGACGAGAAGAGCATGTATGTGGAACATGGCGCTGAGACAGAGCGGGGCCCGTTGACACCCAAGACACCTATGAAGATGAAGGTTGGCATTTTCGGGTCAAAGCAATAGAAGACATGGGCTTAAGACCTTGCTCAGTGTTCGGCGCTTGGTGCGCTTTGTGGAAGTGGGTGAAAGAAGGTATCTAGATCAGTTAATGAGACTTTGTTGAGACTTTGTGGTTTGGTCAGATGATGAGCATGTGTGGGCTGGAGTGAGTGACGCTGGAACGTGACGGAGGAGGGTATGTGAGGAAGTTTGGGCCAGGGGATGGGGGATATAAGAGGATGGGGGAGTTCGTGATGGAGGAGATATCAACACAGTATCACATCTTCGCTACCATCTCACAATACCATCACAACAGCATTCCAACCCTTTTATCATCAAACCACCAACAACCACCCCAAAAATGTCATACCCACGCGTCACCCTCACCGCTACCCCCTCCCGCGGCCGCGGCGAGCTCGTCGCAAAACTCAACTGGTTTTTCCGGACGGCCCAGAACAACTCCACATTCTCCCCCCAAGAATTTGACGCCTGGTTCCTCACTCTCACCGTCGAAGACCGCGCAACTGTCCACGAGATCCTCCAACCGCTGCACACCAACTGGCCCAGTCAAGTCGAACACCCCAACGTTATCGCGCTGGTACACTGGTTGCGTGAGCACCGTGCCGAGTACCGTGCAGAGCGGGCTGCTGCGGTTGCGGATGACGCTGCGGAGCAGGAGCAAGATGGGGTGAATGGGAATTTGGGGGATGTGGAAGAGAAGGTTAGACGGATTGAGGAGACTTTGAAGGGGATGCAACAGGATTTGGGAGCTCAGCAGGAACAAGCTGAGGCTGCGCCTACCGTACCTGACCCCGAACCTCCTGTTCCCGAACCTACCTGCCCTGGAACTATCGACGAGGAGCCGCAGCCGCAGCCCATTCATCCTCGCCCATATCCCGTCGATGGAATGGACGTTCTCGCCGTCCTCGTCATGGTCCTGGCTCCGGCATGCTTGGTACGTCTCCTGATGATCTTGTTTCTGTTCACGGTTCTCCGACAGGCCTCTAATGGTACGCGACGTCTCTAGATCGGTGTGGCATTGCATCGGCGTTGGTTCCGGTAGTTTCTGGACTACAGAGTTTGGGATAGAACTGCTTTGAGGATTTGATTAGAGTTTGCGTGGTTTCTTGGTTTTTTGGTTTTACAAACACTCGCTGGTAGAACTGACTGGGTTTCGTTGTTGTCTTTCATTAAGGCGTTCTTGTGGTTTCTTGTGGTTTTTTGTCTTTGCAAACATGTCTTGGTAGGCGTTGTTGGAGTTGGGTGTGTTCTTTCTTGTAGTTGCAAACGTAGACAATAGACAAACCGGAGCGATTCGGGATATAAACGGTGTACTTCCTGTGTGTGAGTGACTCTTCATCCGATAACATCATCCATCATACAAGAACAACTTACAACAACCACCAATCTCAACAACACGCTACCAACAATGTCCAACAACAACGACAACACCACCCCCGCCAGCGACGCCACCATGGCCGAGCGTCTAGCCTACTACGAGCGGTCCTGCAAGCGAGCAGAGAAGCGTATCGAGAAGAAGAAAGCCCTCGTCGCTAAGTTGGAGGAGGAATATGCGGCTCTTCTAGAGCAGCTCACTGAAGCCAGGCTCGCACCGAATCTAGACATGGAGCGCATTGAAGTCTTGGATGCGGCGATCAAAGCGAACAATGCAGAGCTTGAGACTGAGGCTGGGCGACACGAGCAACTGTGCGAAGACTACCAGAAGCTGATCGACATGAAGAATGGGTCGGAGGCGGAGTTCATCGCTCGTGTTACGGAGTTTATGAATAAGGAGGCGGAGCGTGACGGTGGCGATGGCGAGGGCGGAGAAGGGGAGGGAGAAGGAGAGGATGCTTAGGTCGAACGAAGGGGTACGGAGTATGCAGACTGGGGATGGTGGTCAGCGTAGTAGCCTAGATTAGCTCATTGTCGCTCTCTCATCGAGATCAGAGGCCGACTTTGTGCTTACGCAATGCTTTTCCTTAGAAAATACATGTCTTGACATGGAACTTGTGGGGTCATTTGCGAAGTGAACGTGATACAATCTCATCATTTGACAGTGGACGTGAGCATTTTGAAAGACAAGTGATCGCATTGAGAAGAATAATCAGCGTTGAAAGGCAGATGAAAGTACAAACGGTAAGCTATGCGAACGCTAAGGGCATGAGGTGAAAGCAAAAAGACAACCAACGATAACAACGATAATAACAATCAAGCTCCCCAGTCCAGTATGTCGCTGGTCATGTCCGAGCTTCAGGTGCTCTCGTCAAGGACCTGGTCGCAGACAGCGCGGTGCTTGATGAAGAAGACGTCCAAGCCCAACTTAGCCTTGGTACCTGAAGTGAGAAGAGCCTGGATATTGTCGCATGTTTCAGGGTGATGCGCACAGAGATCAGCGATGCAGATTGCCAGCTGACCTGTAGCCATCTTGAAAACAGAGTAAGCATCGCAGGTATGAGGCCTGACCTCGGAGACCCATTCTTCGTAACTCTCGTTGTTGAGCGTTAGAATGGCGTGAAGTAGGTCGACTGCGTCATTGCAGCTGACTCCGGGGATCTCTGGGTCGCACAGGGAATACAGGCAGATCCTCTGATCCTCAGGAGTGAAGGGGAAAGATTCGAAATCCGTCGGGAGAGATGGGTCGCTCGCGTGCATCGGCGCCGCGATAGCTCCTGCGCAAAAGCAAGTGTCGTTGAAGTGTCCGCAGAAGTCGCAGTCAGGTTCGCACTCGCATGTGGGGGCCCGGGAGATCACCGGAGCATCGATGGCTGGGTAGACTTTCTTCATCTCTTCCATGACCTCCTCGCACGGGAAGCCCATCAGGAGTGAAGCATTCACGGGGTCGCAGACTGTGGGGTATATGGCACGAGCATACGACTCTAGTGCCGATTCATCGCAATCTTCGACTCCAGTGTGGTACCTCCGGACGATGTTGCACAGTGTTGATTTTACTGAGTGATGTATGGTTGGTACGCGTGTTGGCTCAATGTCGTCTGGAGTGTTGCGAGCTGCAGGGACGCGACGTCTTGCCGGGTAAATGACCCTGGCTAGGCATGGACTGTTTCCTGGTTTTCGTGGCTTCTTGCAATCTGGGCAGTCTGTTTCGCGAGGTGCAGGCGCAGGTGGTGTGAAAAAGCCCCCGCGCGACGTGGTGGAGGTGGTGTCCGATGGTTCTGGCCTGTGCGGAATTGCTGGTCCTGATACGGTACTCGCTGGCCTGGGCGGAAGAATCACTGACGATGTGGACGGTGCCGGTACGAAACCGGGGGTCGGTTCATCGGAGAACTCAGCGGTCATGCCCATGGTATACGTGAACTTCATGGTATGGAGCTCCCGCGATTCGGAACCGTCCGTGTCAGATCCGGAGTCGGAGTCGGTATCCTCTGCCACATGAATTGGAAGGTTGCCCGTGTGAGCTTCAGCGCTGTCTGCACCGTGGTGTGTAAGGCCAAAATATGGGTAGTCGTAGCAATACATGATATCGGCAAGAGACGTGGAATCTTTCAATGTAGTCACGCGTGGTGACGTGTCGCAAAGGACAAGCTCAATGTTGTCTTTAGGGGTGCAAACATGTGTCTCAACCTCTGCGGAGCCGTAGAAGCTCTGGTGACAGCTGTGCAAGGCGATCTTGTTGTGGAAGGGGTTGCCTCGAACTGGGGAGATGCCGACCCAGACCTTGTCCAGGGTGTCCAGGTCAATCGTGTAGGCGAAGTCCATCTCGTTGGCGCCCCTGTTGATACCTTCGAACTTGTCGGAGATCTTGATGGCAACACCAGGATTGAGGGGGGACCCAAAGTGCCATGGTTCTCGGTACTGACCATGAGGTTTGAGGGGGACGTTTTCGGTGAGTGAGCTGCTGAGCCACTGGGGTACAGACCAGATATAGACCGTGTATGGGCAATGGTTGGTGACGATAGCTCCGGCATGAGCCAGAGCCGCGAGTGCGAGGACGAAGAAGGCTTGTCCGAGCATTGTGTTGAAAGGGTTCGGTATGAGAGATGATGCAGTCAGCAGTAGCAGTAGAAAACACTGGAGAAGGGGTTGGAGAAGAAGAAGAGACTCTGGATGGGAGGTAGAGTTTATGAGCGGTGGTAGGCGTGTTTACGTGTCGTCATAACGAGCACAGGAAGTTGTAACAGCGCCCGTTGCTGCCATAAGTTGGACAGATTTGGGGAGGTGCGCCGGATGCGTTGGAAGGTAGCTCATGCATTTCGTGAGATCTTCCAAGCCTATTGCTACCTTAGCTTCCTGTTAGACCCCCAGAGATATCGGTGCGTAGTCATTTGAAGAGGCTCTAGCTGCCGTAGCCGATTCTTAAATGCTAGCGACGTGTGGAACCATTCTTCGAGGTCCATGGTGCTTGCTCATGTAGCTGGAAGGGCGGTCACCATCTCGCAGGATCGCTTTCCTGGCGCAGCAGGTCCAATTCGGGAATCGCCTTCTCCCTACCAGTATGAACTGCCACCATATCTCTAGAAGGAGAGCACGATCAATAACCATGGTCGGTTAAATGGAAGCCCCGGGGCTGGTATCTGGTGATCAGGAGATGAAGCGCGTCGGCGCACGGCGGTGATACTTCCCCACCTCTGCGTGCTTTGGCACAAGGAGATTTCAGCATCGCGTTATCGCCACAGAAAGAGTCGCATAGGCCGCCATGCACGATGGGTGATTTGTTGTTGAACTCCATGGTGGTGGTTGTATTGTAGGTTTGGGGTTGGTGTGGACAGATGCGCACGCAAGGGAAGTCGCTTACTCAGCCCCTCACTCACAGCTTGAAGCACTCCGGCTAGCGTCCTAGAGACCTGAGGCGCGAATGAAACACTGCAAACCTCAGCATCAGCGACAGTACAATAAGAACAGAATGGCCCCGTATACTGTTTGCGCAAATTGCGCATTCTCAGATATCTTACTTTTTGCTCCCGGGTAGCATTGTCGCTGTAATACATACTTTCAACGTCCGATTCGCGTCCAAGCCTCAACTACGCGCCGACGCGCCCCACCATCCTCCATGATCCAACAATCCTCTTGTATCGACATGCCCACCATGTCTTCCTCAATAAGAGAAGTACCCGTCCAGCTACCGAAGAGCTTCGACCGACCCGACGAGCCATGGCACCACTACATCAATGTCGACCTGATATGGTACGTCCTCGGGTACACGGTCTTCCACCCATTCGTATCATGGGTCGTGGTATTGTGTCTGCGCGCGCAGTACACGCCTTATGAGAACATCGAGATGCGCATTGCCATGGCTTGGGCTATGCTCATGACCGTCACCGGCATCTTCGGGCTCATCAGCGACCGGATCGCATGGGGATCACCGCGCGAGGTGGACCTGGAGGAAGAGGTTATTGTCATAACCGGCGGTGTTGACGGCCTCGGCGGTCTGCTGGCAGAGACGTATGGAATGCGCAATGCCAATATCGCCGTCCTAGACATGAAGGAGGTCGACGAAGATGAGGCGGAAAACAAGGGCGTGGTTTACTACAAGTGCGACGTGAGCGATGCAAAGCAGGTTGAAGCTGCCGTAGCCAAGATTGTCGACGACGTGAGTATTCCTCTGCTAGGAGACCGTAATCTGCTAACGAGTATAGCTCGGCGCTCCGACGATCTTGATCAACAACGCTGGTATGGTGCAGACCAAGTCAATCCTCGACTCAACCGCTGAAGATGTGGAGCGGTATGTATACTCTGGAATCCTTGTTGACGTCTACTGACACCTCACCAGCACCTTCCGCGTCAACACCCTGTCTCAGTTCACCACCCTCCGCACAATCCTCCCGCACATGCTGAAGGAAGGCCGCGGCACCATCGTAACCGTTTCCTCCGTTCTCGGCCACCTCGGCGCCGCCAACCTATCCGCATACACAGCTTCGAAAGCGGCCCTTCTGGCGCTGCACCACTCGCTCCGCGCGGAGCTTGCACAAAACCCCGCCGCAAAGGACATCAAGACAATCCTCGTACAACCTGGTCAGATGGGCACAACCATGTTTGCAGGCCTCAAGACCCCAAGCAACTTCCTAGCGC